GTCTAGATCTGTGTCGTGATATTTTAATATATCAGCTTTAAGTGCATTCCAGTTGGGAGTCCTAAACTGGCTAGTCCCTCTATGAATTCAGTAACATGATGGGACATGTACTGTGTGATTGACTCGCACTTTTCAGAGTCTAGGATTACATTATTGTATTCGCATAGCTTCTCGTAATGTTTCAAGAAGCCCTTGACTTCAGAAAAGCCCCCTTTGAACTTGGCAGGTGCTGCCTTAGTTCCTGGATTGGGTAGCGTCAATATAGATAACGTGGTCATATTTGTCATTATGCATGCCGTCTGAATGGACGGAGTGGATTGTTTCGTGGGTGTCGAGGAAATCGTGAATACGGTGGTGGTTACGTGAGTTCTAAGTGAATTGTTCTTTGTGCGATGGTTGTTTAAAAACTTCAAACAAAAAGAAGCCTCCCTCGCGGTTGGGCTCCAGTGATGTCTTGTTGCTTAAGGGTCTTATATACAACACGTATATAGGGACAACACAACTATACAGGATAAGACTTCTTGCCCAGTCCTTCAGTACACAGTCTACGACTTTTCTAGTTTTTGTGGTAGATAACGTGCTGAGTTCTTGGGAGGAATGTCATTCAATATTCTCCTTCTTGTTCCTTGGTTAGTTTAAACCTCGTGGTCTCGAAATATTGAGTGTGAAGTTTGCACATGTTTTGGCAAGTGTGTGCCCGTGGATTCGTGAAGTGTGTCTTGTGATTCGTGTCTCCCTTCCTGAAAAAGAGAGAGGAAAGTAGTGCTGATAAACTTTAGCTAGGTAGCTGTACTTTGTTATATAGTCAATTCCTGTAAGGTAGTATATAACTTGAATATATGTTTCTTATTCTTAACTTCAAGGCTGCTGAATGGCCTGCACTTAGATCTTACTGGTTCTCACACAGTTTGAGAAAGAGTTAAAGTGGGAAGCTTAAATTGCATGGGTGAAAATGGGCTCCTTATATACCTTTTGGGAGGCCATCTTACTAAGCATGATTCATCACATAGATTGGTAAGAATGTGCTTACAAACTTGTGTTGAGTCAGCTTGTTTACTAATGTACATACAAAATGAAGTGTAGTATTACAAAGAATGAAAATGAAAAGCATGAGTCATCACATGGATTGGTAAGAATGTGCTTACAAACCAAGTCCTTAGGTGTGCTGAATCAGCCTTATGACAAAGTGGATTACAAATACAGTTGCAAGTTTTACAAAGCATGACAAATCATGACCAAACATGATGAGTCAAGTTAAATCCTTAGACTCCGTTCGGGAACTCGAATCTGGCTAAGTTTCGACAAGATTTTGAACTTCAAATTTACTTAAGTAAGCTTGCCGGATTGCCGTTCAATGTGACTGATTACATGTCACACCTTGATATCATATACGGTTATGCCCCCAACCCGATGCTTTCGTTATTGCGACCATCTTTGCAGCCAAACGACTCTAATGACAAAGAAGAACTCGAAAAAACAACAGGATGCCACCTTGATGGAACCGAAAGATCGTTGCGTTTGGTTGCAGAGCGACGAGACGGCGTTGATAAACTATGTCATCGCCACAAATCGAAAGGGGGAGATGACCTCAATTTCGATAAGACGTTCTGGAATGATACTGCTGTGGAGATGGTGAAACAGCCTGTAATGCAAGGTGAGTCCTGCCACAGATATCACGCCGTATTCATCTGACTTCTGCCTTATTCTAAGGCGCTGCAAAGACTGCAGAGGCATGTCAAACAAAATGGTCACGAGTACGTACTTATTTCTACTGAGTGGCTGCTGGCGGTACTGATCTCTACTTTTCAGATTCGCAAGTTGTATCAAGTCATCTACAAGATAGCGCACGCCTCTGGAATCTCATACAGTCCAGAGCTTGGTGCAAATATCGGACGTGAATCAGAGACGATCTGGGCAGACTACACTAGGGTATGTTTTTTTTATCATTTCCTGTCATGCCGTGTGCTAACTACATACATAGCACAACCCCCAAGCAAAGCCTTACAAGACGAAGGGCTGGCCTCATTATGAGGCGCTACATGGTATCATGTCAGCGCAACCAAGCCAGTGACGTCATGATGGCGTCACTGGAGGATGCACTTGACCGTGTGGAATTCAACGCTCATCCTACTACTGACAACAATAACGACACTATGCACGCTGAGCCAGGGACATCCGGTCCTCCCATCGCACCCCTCATTCCCATCTCCATTCCCCTCACAGCTTCTACTCCTGTCACGCCCATCACAGCCCATCACCCCAACCAGTTTCAACATCATGCAAAGTCGCCCTGCTCCCTCCACTCCTGCATCTTCGACAGCTGTGAAACGCAAAGCTGAAGGGGACGACAGTTCGCATCATGAGTCCCGTCCACCGCAATCCTCCAAAGGGAAGTCGTCGTCAAAGTCGCAGCATCTATCAATGCCGTCAGCATTGGAAGGCTTGGGAGGAAAGATGGCTGATAGTATCGCTAATGCAACGACAGCATTTCAGGAGACGGTCTCCAGTCATTTTGTTGAGCCTGTCCCCCTCCGCAAACAAAAAGCCATTCTACAGGTACAGGACGAAGAAGATCTCGACGCGCATGAAATTGTCACTATGATTAATTTGTTTCAAGCTGATGTTTGTGTTGCTGATTCGTATCTCAACATTAAACGTGATATCGTATGCAAAGTCTTTCTTGCGCAGTATTTAGAGGACTATAGGAAGGCGAAGGAGCTCTAACTACGCTACAATTTGTTGTAGTACTAAATACATCATGTTATCGTTCTGGTGCTAACCATGCTTCTTCCTCTGCATCCAACCAGAATGGTGTTTCTTCCTCTGCCATGAACGACTCATCTTACAAAAAATTCGTATCACGTCTCCCGACTCCGCATCCAACCAGAATGGTGTTTTCTTCCTCTGCCACGAACGACTCATCTTACGAAAAATTTGTATCACGTCTCCCGACTCCGCATCCAACCAGAATGGTGTTTCTTCCTCTGCCACGAACGACTCATCTTACGAAAAATTTGATACATTGAGAAAAGTGCTACAGTAAGAAGAATAGCGCTACACTAAGAATTAGTCCTGCACTCCAGGTGGCATTGGTTCCCCTCTTCGACGTCTCTCTGCAAGATAATCTAACCACATAGATTGTGCGAGTTGGTCGCGATGTTCATGTGCACGTGTCCTCGCAGCTTCAGTTGGAGGACCATCAGCGAGTGTACCGGTGTACTGAGGCCCCCACTCGTCTGACTCAACGTGTCGATAGTCCAGTAAGTCGTTAGGGTCGTGGATACAGATTATATTGTGGATCAAGCAGAGAGCTGGAGGAATGCGAGACTGGATTTCTGAGTTATACTCAGGGGGAAGTAGAATGATGCGGAAGCATTTCTTGAGGACGCCAAAAATATGTTGATAACGTTGCGAAGCATTGTGTGTCGCAAGTTATAGAGTTCCTTCGCATTGCAAGGCCTCAAAGGCAGATAAGTATGAGAAGAATAAAATATTAGAAACGACATACAAAAGATTTGCACGGCCCCATTCTGCAAGGTGATAGCGTACACCTCGATAGGGTACAAGCAATTCATCGCATGCAGCGAATCCGGCGTCTGCTAGATAAAACTTCCCCAGTGGAATGGTGAAGTCCATCAAACGCGCAGTGTGATAGACACGAGCGTCTGCTGCGGACCCCTGGAAACCGCTCAGCATGTACATAAAGCACATGTCAAAATCACAGGCAGCAAGACAATTCTGTGTCAAGTTGCCCTTGCAGTCACGGGCAGCATGACGATCAGATGCTGTGGGGTGACACGCGATATGCGTGCCATCAATGGCGCCAATAACATCGGCAAAGTACGGGTAAAATTTCCTGGTTTTGAGGATAGTGGGGGGAGTGGGGGGCCTGTGGACTGGGGAGACGGACATACGTGGTATAGATCGGCTGAGATGAGAATGCGATCAAAATTTGTTTAAAATACCTAGAAAGGAGCTATTGAGTTAGTACAGCCGGGTTCAAAGTCATGGGAGGACGTAGTTCGATATAGTGTCGTTTGAGCGTTGAAAACGCTCACCAAGATGGTGTACAGAAAGCCCAGTGACACAGGCATATAAGAAGATAGCAAGCTGTTCCTCCAGCAGCACATTCTTTGAGTTGTCTATTCCGCTTTCACGAAGCACATTCAATAATACAAAGAAAACATGGCGGCGGACGCCAAGCTCGCATCGCACGCATTCAGGGTGGCCAGTAAGGAGCTCGTTGACCCAAGCGATCCCTGATAGCGCCGAGGTATGGTATGGTTCTTTCTCATAGTGGGTTTGTATGTAGGAGTTATAGGCGTCCACTGCGATGTCAACCACTCCAGCGGCCGATACCATCAGGTTCTGAAACACATTGATGATTTGTTGCAGGCGTTTTAGATCTCCCTTCTCTGCGTCATTTGGATCCCCCTCATCATCTCTATCATCTTCCACATCTCTATCATCTGACTGATCACCCGTGTCATCGGAATTAGTAGCGTCGTCCTGGTGGTGCCAAAGACGCGAAAGCATACTGTTGGTATTATTGTACAATGAGCTCTGCAGCGTGCGGTGTGCGGTGTGCAACGTGCTCAGATCCTCGAGTCTGTAGCATGACAGTGCAGAATTCAAACTCCGAGCTTACTTAAATTCGAAGTTCAAAATCTCGTCGAAACTTAGCCAGATTCGAGTTCCCGAACGGAGTCTTACAAATCAGAGTATTTCCCAGTCACATGACATGATTACTAACATGTTTGGTGGCTTGAGGAAAGTCTGGTGGCTAAATGTGCCTAGAAAAAATAGAAAGAGATAGAATCTCATGGAACAAAATAGAAATACATAGAAAAAATAGGAGCGAAGTTTGAAAGTGAAAATACTAGCTAAGAAACAAATGAAAAATGATAAAGGTAACTTGGTGATAGGAATCAGTCAGGTGTCTTCTACCTTCCCTGTCACTGCTGTTGTGTATATGTCATGGTATGGATCACATACCATGCATGACATCGGCTGAGCTGGACTGGAACAACCCAGTGTAAGTATTGCACTCTGGATTGCAAGCAACACTAACTGTTTATCAGTGTAAGGGCAGGGATTCGAGATCATGCAGAGAGATATATCATAACAGATCTTTCTTTTCCAGCGTACTTATATGAAAAGTACACTGCCAATTCAGACAATCTAGAAGAAGGTCTCTTTAAGGGCAAGATCTTGCTCCAGGTTCGTCGCAGCAGATTCGTACAGATGGCACTAATCCTACTTTTTTCTCAGAGCTACAAAGCTGTTTTTACATCTCCCTCATCAGCAAAGGACGTCGAAGGCGATGGTGATGGCACAGATATCATCAAGAACAACAGATGCTGTCTTGCTACCTAAGGGTCTTATATGGAACGCGTATATAGTGACAACACAACTATACAGGGATAAGACTACTTGCCAGTTCTTAAGTACACGGTCTACGACTTTTCTAGTTTTCATGGTAGATAACGTGTGAGTTCTTGGGAGGATTTACTGACGTGTCCTCTTCTTGTCTTTCTTGTGATTTCAGTGATATGAAGTTTCTCAGTGTTATATAGTCAACCTCTAGTTTAGGTAGTATATAACTAGTAGTAGAAATGTCTTATATCTTACTTCAAGGCAACCTATTTAACCTGCACTTTCAGAATCTTACTGGGTCTCACACAGTTTGAGAGAAGAGTGGAAAGTGGGAAGTTATATTTAGTAGGTGCAAGATGGGCTCCTTTTATACCTTTTTGGGGCCCCCCTTACTAAGCATGACTCATCACAGCATTAGTAAGTCACTGGCTTACTAACCATGCCATTTGGCAGTGCTGAATCAGCTGCTTATCAATCTAATATACATAAATAGTAAATACTATTACAAAGCATGATAAATCATGACAAAGCATGACAAAGCCTGACAAATCATGACAAATCCTTACAAATCAGCCTATTGCCAGTCACATGACATGCTTACAAACATGTCTGATGGCTCACTGAAGGATCTGTGTCTGAAAGAAATGGAAACAGACAGAAACAAATGGAAACTGCATGACAAATCATGAAGGATTCTTACAAATCAGCATATTGCCAGTCACATGACACACTAAGTAACATATTTGTGGCTCACTGAGTAAATTGATGGCTGAATAAGCCTTAGAAAAAGAAAGAGAAGGAAACTAACAATCTGAAAATATAAGTACAAGTAAATCTGTCATAAATGAAACCAAGCCTGTAATACAATGAAGTATACCTTAGTATACTCTTCCTGTGATTACTTCTTGTCTACGTATGTCATGGTATGGTACCCATACCATGCATGACAACGCGCTAAGAAGGCTTATTCTGGAATCAAGGTCAAGAAGCATGTCGCACAAATTATCAAAATGGAAAAGGTTACACCTCAGTTAATCGCATACATCGCCTGTCAGGTAAGTGATAGTACTTAATCTGTCCACCAGACCGAGGATCAATGATGACCGCTGGCAGGTACAATTCACACTGTCATCTATTACCTCATGGTGGTTGGTCAATGGTGATTTCGACTACATACAATTCTGGAAGACCATCGTGGACTTCTTCGAAAGGCCCCCTGGTCAAGACGCACAGCACAGGGTCAACAGACTTCTCGAATGGTGGACTAGGTGGGGCATATGCACCTTTGACAATCATCAACTGACCTCTGTTGTTCAGGAAGGGTTTTGGAAGGAACCGCTGTCAGGACCTTACTGATGAGGCAAGGGTTAACATGTCCATGAATGCTCTCGCAAGGCAGAGGGCACGAATTGATGATGTGGCCTTCGACTTGAACTAAATATCCATTAATTTATTGTCCTTTTTTCAACCATCTCCTATCTTCGTCACTGTAGTTTGCTATTAATATCATGAGTTGATAATACCTGCCTGGTGTGAAATGCCTGACTGCGAGTAATTGTGTATCACACCACTGCCATGACACAACAATATCTGAGGATTTGCCGACATCATCAACAATTATGAATGAATTCCAGATACCATCCTTTAAGCTACAGATCATGGATCCGCCTGTTTGTTTTTAACAGGCTGAGTTCAAGAAATATAGCACAATCATGGAGGTCTCTGCATTTTCTAGTCTTCATGTCAATCACTGGATGGATCTTTAGGATAGCGATAGTCGGCTGATTCTGTTCATTTGCAGGCTCTTCATAGTGTTTCCCTCCGGCTTCCAGAAGCCAGTGTAAATACTCAATGTTGCCCCATGTCAATGTCGTCATTCGATCGAGACACTCAACCACCCAGGTCTTAAATTCATATATAAGCAATACCCCTGCAGGGTATAAAGGCACAATGGTATTGATGCATGGCACAATATACAACTCGTTTTGTCAAATGGTAAGTGGAGTACCAAAGTGAGCTATGACACCCCCGCTGTGAAGTTCCGAACTAATGTACTATGACATAATGATACAGTGTATGTGGCAAGCTACAATTTTTGAGACGGTGTTACAAGTAGTATACCACTGCCAGTCATGAGACATCCCAAAGAACGTTGTATCGAGGCTTGAAGCAGGGAAGAAACTGAGCACCGCTCACTTGGTGAACATATTTTGGCTGTTGCACAAAGGTACAGCATTTTCGCATGGATGCTGAAAGCATTGTCTTTTACACATAGGTTCTAAATTATTAACCTTACTGTAGAGATACGCACTTAGGTTTGGCCCTATTGAGGTGTGACCAAATGAATGTTAGGTTCGAAGGTTCGCAGGGGGGTGTGACATGTGACAGGCTGCGCTTAGGTTCAACGACTGTTAGGCAAACACATTCCTTTGTAAGTATAAGCATGCTGATCCTTACGCTCGACCAGGAAATGCTCACTTTACAAGTTTCGTTTCTAACTTTATGTCTGTCTGTCTGTCTGGCAACACAACAGCTTCCCTGTATGTTGTTGTAAAGTCTTGTCAGTGTGGATCCTTGGCATGCCTGAGCAATGTTTCCATGGATGTTGTTCTGCAGCATATTGTATTGGGTGAATCAAGTGTCCCTCATGGCTATAGTGCTGATGAATCAGGTAATCTGCTGGTAGACAACGAGTCAGAGAGCTATGAGCAAGTGGTACTGCCAGTGGATGACACGGAGCTTGAATCTACAGTGAATGGGTCTAAGGAGGTTGAGGCTGGGGGCCGTGGAAAGCGCAGATGCGTTGCAAACACTCAGTACAAGGATTTTTGGCTGCACTAGACCTTTTTTTCATGTTTTTACCATATGTCACAGTTTAGGTTCGATGGCCTCAAAATTGGTGTGACCGTCACACAAAATAGGTTCGATTCGCTAGGCGTGTGACAGTGTGACGAACTTAGGTGCGTATCTCTACAGTACCTCCAAAATCATTCATTTGAAGAAAATGGTGTTTAGAGTTGAAGCGACTCATAAGTTTGGTGTCGCTCGCTTTCTCGAACACATTTTCGTTGTCTAGAAGCCGTCATCTGTCGCATCGACATTGTAAATTGTTGACATTGTCTCCAAAACCACCTGTTTGAAGAAGGAGGTATTTAAATATAAAACGACTCATAAATTTGGCCTCGTTCGCTTCGTCGAGCACATCTTCATTGTCTGGAAGCCATGGTCTGCTGCACTGAGATCATAAGTTGTTGACATGGTCTTCAAGATCACGCATTTGAAGAAGGAAGTGTTAGATATAAAACGACTCATAAATTTGGTATTGGTCGTTTTGTCGAGCACATTTTCGTCGGGTGGAAGTTATTGCCTGTCCCACTTAGGTTGTAAGTTGCTGATATTATTTCCGATGAGTTGTGGATGTGATCGGTGTAGGTGGACCATTAACTTTGGCTTCACATTCACTTCAAGTTCGAGTCTGAGTGATTTGAGGATCTTTTCCGAGTCACAAGCCTTTGTCGGAAAATCAGGAACTCGTCTTTCCTGTATAAAACAACATAATCATCGATAGCAGAATTATGTTGGTTCTCGGGATTATGTACTATACATGGGCATAAATCCGTTTCTAATTTCTCCACCAGTTTACTGATGTCTGTGCGTGCAGTTACAGCAGGCCCTTGCAATTCAAATATTCACGCCTTGACCTGCCAAATCTGCCTTCCTCCCGCCGATCCTATCTCTGTCGAGAATGCCACATCCGACGTTCTGGTACACAGGCTGACACAGGATCTTATGATTCAACAGATAAGAAGCGTTGGTCTATCTTTGTGTCACTATATTTCTTTCATCGTTGTATGTAGGTTGGCACCTCCAATTCTATGATTTGCAGATCGGCGTGCCCGTCCTGTACGAAATCGCTCTCCCGGAGTCCCAGACGATACACTGATGTGTCCTCTTCACCGTGATACTTTCGTCCCTCTCCTACTGAGAACCACTCATTGATTTGGTCAACGATCTATCCATTACGATCATGATGACACGCGATCTTCGACCTCAATTACTGGCACATCACCTCGTCATGCCGCTAGCTCTCCTACCAAGACCCGTATATACGAATCGTGTCATCAATATCTCCGAACCCTTCCCTGCATCACTCAAGGTGATATTTTTATCACGATCATCTGCTTCATCTATCTCAGCTAACTCCAGACCAAATGCAGAGATCATATTCCAGCCAGCACGCACACATACATATGTAATCACGAGATTCTGACCAACCTGGTTCTACACTGATTATCTACCCAACAAGTTGCTGCCGTGGGTTCTAAACCAGTCCACATTGTGACGAATGGTGGGATCAATGGTCCACATTTGGTACTGACCTTTCCGCTTTCTCCATCTCGCACCGTCAGGGAGAGAAGGTACGACCATTTATTTTGCTTGTCGTGAATCCCGACTCGGAACTTACTCTTCGATTTTGCCCTGTAGACGGAAAAGCACATGGTCTTCAAGGAGAAATATGTTGCCCGTCCTATGCTTAGATGCACATTCCGGTTAGCATTCATTTTGATATTTTTCCAATACCCGACAACATTATGTTCGGACGAAACACATGACCTTTTCAAAAGAGTCACAACACAGCGAAAAATTTCCCTGGAAGTGAGACCTTTATATCTTTTGACCAAACTGAACGATGAGCTGCACCGTACACAGGGAAAGCCCCAGCGGAACCCTATACAACTCGGCTGAGCTTGCGTCAAGATCTTAGATGGATATGCTAACTATCAAGGCAATGCTACAATTTCGCTATTAAAGGTGATCTCTACTGCCCTGGAAGAGGCGGTTTCAGCAGGTAGGCTTCAACTTAACCTGCTCACAAATGAATTGACGTGCCCACCTCAGAGCC